CGCGGCTGCCAACGTCTGGAAGATGCGCCGTATACGTGTCAAATCGAGAGGCCAATTGTTTCCAGTGACGCATTCCGCAGCAGGTGTCATTGGGCGCATCACTGACGAGGCCACAGCCGGGGAGGTCTTCACCGAGCGCGTGCGTTCCGAGGCGCAGGAGTATCTCTCGCAGGTGCGCGAGGCCACGGTTCGGAGGGCGTGTGCTGCAGCGGGATGGGAGTGCATGTTATGCCCCTTCAAGTCGCTCGCGAAGGTGAACCACCTGGCAGCCCATGTGACAAAGCAGCACGAGGGCGGCATGAAGCACCCCATCCGCAACTTCGTCAACTTTTCTCGGCACCTGTTCGACTCTTGCACATCCAAGCCAGCGCCATGGGATCTTCTGAAGCCAGGAGGAGCCAGTGGAGTTTGTCGACGGGCGCACAGCGGTTGGAAGGCTTTGGTGCGGGAGCGCCCCCTGGCCGACACCGCGCGCGCTGTGCGAGCCTGGAACACAGGCGTCAATCGTCCCGAAGCCTTGAAGCGGGGATGGTACCGTGAAGATTTCCGATCCTTGATCACCGAAAAGGGTGGGCGATTGCTGCTTCGGAATCATCCCGAGCATGTGTGTGCGCGGTGCGCATCACTTCGAATACTGCTGTCTCTCAGGGGTATATCTGTGCTAACCAGGTGCCTGCGGCAAGTCCCGCCGCCGTGCCAGCCGAGCCCCTTGGGTGGCGGCCCTTCGAATGGTAGTGGTTTTGATGATGTGCGTGGCAATGTTGTTGGCGATGAAGGCGACGATGACGACGACGACGACGAGACGACGACGACGACGACGACGACGACGACTATGACGACAACGACGACGACGACGACGACGACGACGACGACGACGACCCCTGCCGGACAGCGCATGGCATTCTTCCACGCCTCAACGTGCCAAGGGGCACGGTGGCGGATTGCATTTGCCGCGCTGCTGAGCCAGGGGAGACCGAAGCTCATTCGCGAGAAAATGGTTGGGAAGGCATCCCAGATGTCTCTGGCCGATGGCCTCGCGGAAGCCCTCCCAGGCCCAGCGTTAATCGGTGATATGCTTCATCGTATTTTCCATGGGGAAACCATCGCTATGATGCTTCAGGACATGCGCGAGACTGTGGCCCAATTACTCGACGAGTTCACCGATTTGAGCGTTGACGCCACGGTCAACGTTCTGCAATCCATCAGCGGCAATGTTCCCGAAGGCAAGCAGGGGCCCCGCCTGGCTGAGCAGGAGCGCTGCTGCCTGACTACGAAGGGGCGCACGGGGTCCGCCCTTGCCATCGAGCCCATTCGTGCGGAGGACTTCGCCGAGCTGCTGCGAGGGATGGAAATCGCCGTGCCGCTGAATTTTCGTTGGCGGGTGCTGTCGGTGTGCACGGATAACCCCACAGAGCTTCTCTCGGATACTGGAAAGCTCCTGGGCTCTTTCTGCAACCTGCGCTGCGTTTCTGAAGACCCTATTCATGGCAAGCTGCGTCTGGAGAGCTGCTCTGGCCATAAGCCGAACCAGGTCTCGATTCTGGTTCTTGGTATCAATATAGATCTTTCCCAAAGACCCATGGAGCGACAGGCGGGCGAGACTTTCCGGTGGGACTCGGAGAAGGTGGCTGCAGAAGGCGAGGAGCCCGCCAGGCTTACGCAGCAGGCTTGGAAATGTCCACTGCGGAGGCGCAAGAGCTCATCTCTCAGGCTGCGACCATGGGGGGCGGCCCCGAAGATTATGGCAAGCTTTTGGCAGCTGCAGGGGCCATTGGTGCTGACGACATGGCTCGTAGAAGCGGGAGGGGCCAGGACTCCCGCACCCTTGGAGAGATCTCGGAAGCGCAGTGTGACCATTACTCGTACCTGCGCAACCACGCTCTCCGCCGTGGCGAGATGACGCAAAAACAACAGGGGGAGAACAGTTGTGGAACTGCGAGCAATGAGGCTTTCCACAAGGAAGTAGGTGTGTGGGGACAACGAGTCGTGCGACAAACGCGCGGGCTCCTGGGCGCGAAGCTTCGCGTGCTGCTTTTCCTGAAATTGTCGACTTTCATCCGCCTGCCTGCGGCCGGCCCCGCCACCGTGCCTGGCGCAACAGCGCTGTAGAAAGGGGGTTTGAGAATAGGGGTCAAGCTAGCCAGCTCGAGCGAGTCAAGCATGGCATGCCCAGTCCCACCCGCCCTCCCACAACATAAGAAGCAAAGCTGGCACAACTGGGGGCCGAAGTCACACCGGCCAGCCGGTTTGGTACAGCTGATGCGGCCGCGATGGCGGTTGCCGACGGGAACTGGCGAGCGCGTGTTGAATGCCGCGCACGCATTGCCAGACGAGTCGAGAATGGCCCGGTGCACCGCAGGAAGCCAGAGGTGGCCGGAGGAAGCCCGACGGTCTGACAGGACACCCCAAAGCATTTTTGTGAAAAAGCATTGGGTTTTTGATGTTTTTATGTTGAAATGCTTGCAAACACACGGTGTTCGGTAGGATTCTGACATGAACGCGCGAGTGTGCTCTTTGTGGTATTTTTTGCACAGGATTCGCGGCCTGGGTGCATGACAGAGCATCGCGAGTGCACCGCGCGATGACGCGAAATCGTTGGATTTGACCGAATTCTTAAGATTCCTATGGTTTTCCTATGATTTCAGCAAGAGAGCCCGGGCGGGAAATTTGTACAATTTTTGTGAAAAAGCATTGGGTTTTTGATGTTTTTATGTTGAAATGCTTGCAAACACACGGTGTTCGGTAGGATTCTGACATGAACGCGCGCGTGTGCTCTTTGTTGTATTTTTTGCAATGGATTATCGCCGTGGACGACAGGACGTCCATGTCGAGAGGAAAAAATAAGAAAAATGTTGATTTTGTATTGTTTTTTACAGGTTAGGATGGGACCACCCGGATGCGGCCCCTAATGGCCGGCCTGAGGGGGGAGTAGGAGTATATTCTAATAAGGAATAAAGATAGAAGGGGGGGGGGGGGGGAGGGGGGGGCCTCTCTGGGGCCGTCTTGGACGTTTCCTTGGCTGTATTGGGCGCCTCTTGGGCCGTCTTGGGATCCTCTTGGGCCTTCTCGGGCGCCTCTTGGGCCGTCTGGGCCGTCTTGGGCGCCTCTTGGGCCGTCTGGGATCCCGGGGCCGCCTGGGCCGTCTTGGGCGCCTCTTGGGCAGTCTTGGATCTCAGGGGCCGTCTGGGCCGTCTTGGGCGCATCTTAGGCCGTCTTGGGATCCTTCGGCGCCGTCTCGGGGCCATCTTGGGGGCCTCTTCGGAGCGTTCGAACGCGCGCGCCCCGCGCAGGCACGGCGGCGGCTATATCGGAAGCTGCATACGCGGGCGCACGCGCAGGGTTACATCGCCGCCATAGTTTCTGCGCAGCTCGAGGGGGGCTGCGACCTGATCCTGCTGCGCGAGGACGATGCAGAGCACACAGAACGGCAGGGCAAGGGGCTCGCGGCCAGAGACAGGGAGCGCTTGCACCGCGAGGGAGAGAAGGCACGCAAGGCACGCGTGGCGCAGGCTCGCGGCATCTCTTTCTTGTACCCACGGAGCGGCGACGGCTTCGCAGCACGAGCAGTTGCGCGCGCGCGAACATTCCAGTCCAGGAGGTTGAATTCGTTGGGACGGCCAGAACAGAAGAAGGACGCAGAACGGTCCAGGAAGTGGAAGCAGGATAAGCGGCAGCAGAGTGGGGGTTCTGGTCTTCCACGGGTGATGAAGCGCCGAAGCATCTCTGCGGTGGCTGCAAGGGAAGCAAAAGTCGCTGGACTCCTGGCTGAGGCCCATGCTGGCCGCGCAGTCTCGGACGCCTCGCAGACCGAGCCTGTGGCGGAGCCCCCGCGGCCTGAGCTCTCAGCGGCCAGCGGGCCTCAGAAGAAGGAGCCCGCGCAGACGGCCCAGGAGCGCAAGGCCGCGTGGAAGAGGAAGCACCCGGCGAAGGAGAAGAAAAGAGCGATGACCGCGAAGGAGCGCAAGGAGGCGTGGAAGTCGAGGCAGCCACCGAAGCAGAAGAAAGAAGCGATGACCGCCAGCCAGCGCCAGTCCGCGTGGCAGGCGAGGCAGGACGCTCAGAAGAAGGAGTCTTGATCCAAACGGCCGCGGGTAGCCGCAGCCATCTGACGGGGACGTAAACCTGGCGGGGCATTCCAAGGCAGTACTACAGTTGTACTCTGCTGCCTCCTGACGTGCACTGTTGCTGGCCTGAGCCGTACATGTTTGAAAACAGGTAAGAACTTGATGTCGCTCCCTCGTCTCGGCTCGGCTGGCCCGCCGTCACCGTCGTCGCCCCAGGCTCGGCCGGCCCGCCCGCCGGCTCGATTCGGCTGGCGGAAGGGGAGGGGAACGAGGACGAGGAGGGGGGGGAGGGAGAGAAGGAGAGGGAGAGGGGGAGAGAGGAGGAGGAGGAGGAGAGGAGGAGTGAGGAAAGAGGAGGAGGAAGGAGGAGAGGAGGGGGGGGAAGAGGAGGAGGGGAGGAGAGGAGGAGAGGAGAAGGAGGAAGAGGAAGGAGGAGAGGAGGAGGAAAGTAGGTGGAAGTGAGACGCAAGCAGTGGTAAGTTGTCGTAGTAAGTAGCCGTAAGTAGTAGTAAAGTAGTAGTAGCATAAAGTAGCAGTATAGTAGTAAGTAGTAATAGTAGTAGTAGTAGTAGTAGTATAGTAAGTAGTAGTAGAAGTGGTAAAATTAGTAGTGATAGTAAGTCGTAGCGAGTGTAGTCGTAAGTATTAGTAGTAGTTAGTATTAGTACTAGTAGTGTGTATTTAAAAAAAAAAAAAAAGAAAAATTTATTTTAAATTTTTTATTTTTTTTTTTCAACTTTATTTGTCATTTTTTAAAAAAAAATTAGGAAAAAAAAAAAAGTTTTAAAGGATTTAGTTGTAGTAGTAGTTAGTAGTAGTAGTAGTAGTAGAGTCATAGTATTAATAGTAGTAATAGTGAGTAGTAGTATTATTAGTAGTAGCCGTAATAGCCGTATAGCAGTAGTAGTAGTAGTAGTATATAGTAGGAAGTAAGTA